ATACATATTTTAACATGAAATAAATAATGAGCAATCGTTAATAATAATTATAACAATTTTACCTTAGAAAAATATATGCCCTTGAGCATAAAGCAATGGAAGCTGAACATACAAAGAATTATTATCATGAAACATCTATGAATATCACAACCATAAGATTACATAGAACGATTAACAACAAAGTACTTAAAGAATATTACCTGCTAACTAATACCGGTTAAACACTTAATTTTCCACTAATTCTATATTTTTCACACTACACTGATCGTCTTGCTAACTATCTGCACACTGTTCTCACTTCAACTGCCTATCTTCAACTATTTAGGCTTCCTTCCAGAATTTCCTACCTAAGTGCCTGTTTTTTGTGCTTCCTTCTATCGACCGTTAATATTACTTTTTCATTGTTATACAACACCTATGTAACAGGTGACGTCGAAGTTGATAAGATAAGTACGGTTTTGCACAAGTTTGTTTCGTTTTGCGTTTTGTTTTAGTTGTTGTTAGTGGTTTACTTTGTTTGTCAAACCACTTTTTAAACATGCCAGTAAATATTGACATTGCCAGTTCCAGGCCTGATAAAATGCGAGAGACAAGTGGTTTTGCAAGGGCTTCTTGACGCTGTTACATAACTACTTTTTCGAACTTTCGAAAAGAACCTGATTTTTCTGGGAAACTGTTCAAGATTAGCATGAACAACCTTATATCAGTCGAAAGGGCATTCAATTTGCATTCACCCATGACAATTAATATGGGTTATTCCATTTGAAAAAGAAAGTTTTTCAGCTCATAAGATTATTAAATGTAGATCTCAGTATTTCCGATTCTGAATAACGTAATTAAAAATACTACTGATTAGAATTATATTTAAATTTTACCTGTTTTCGAATAACTGATTAAGAACTGTGTTCCTCATCCCATAATAAAGGGTCTTAGAGCCTTAACAGCGATTTGGATTTTACTTAAAATTCGCCGCAATGTCGCATTTACCCAAAGTGCAAAATTCTGCTGGAAGTTACATTTAAAAATGCCTCCGCGGCTACGCGGGTTGTTTTAAAGTCACCCCTAGCACTTCCACATCCCCACGGGACACACCGTGCGTGATTAAGCGACCCCATCCGTTCTAATTCCTGCATTTGCATCTCCGCAGGTGCTGAAAGCAAACAAGGAGCGCCAGCGGCTCTCCAGGCTGCAGAAGAGAGAAATAGGCCTGGCAACGATGCTTCTGGGAGTCGTAGCCGTGTTCTTCGTGTGCAACCTCCTCCCGCTCGTGATAAATATAATAGAGACTTTCGAGTTGGACAAGAACTTTAACATAATCTATTTAATCCACGCCAGCAACCTGCTGGTCACAATTAACTCTAGTGTTAACTTTATCATCTACGTGATATTCGGTGACAAGTTCAAGAGACTGTTCCTGATACTGTTCTGTCACAATTCCTTCTTCAGGTCCGGCACCGACTCGCCAGACGGCGCCACAACGCACGAGGATAGCTTCATGTCAAACGGCGGTCGGCAAAGCTTAAGGTGAGTAAATAAACAGTGGTTTTCGTTCATTTCGTAATAGTCCAGGGAACCAAGGGTTTCCCCTCCGAATTCTTTCGGATAGAACCGATTGACATGAAATTTGGACTGTAAGTAGAAAATAGCTCAAGAAACAATAGTTATATAGTGCTGATGAGCGCTATTGCCCGGGTGGGTGGAAGCCACCCCTTCTAGGAGTGAAAAATAAAATATTTTAAGCAAAAAGTATCTTATGAACATTTTTCGATAAGTCAATATTTTCTGAGTTATTGGTGATTGAAAATGTAAATTTTTTATTAAACAAAAAACGTTTTTCAGTAGTTTTTCTCGGATAACTCGGAAAAAAGACATTCTAAGAAAAAAACATGGCGAAGAAAATGAAGCTTATAGAAAAAGAAAAATATTGAGTTTTTTTTCATTTATGTAGGTACAATAGGTGCTGAGATACGGCTGGTTGAAGATAATTTCATGTCCGCCAGAAACTAGATTGGAAGCGTTTAACGTAAAATAACTAAAAATAATTCTATTTTTCAAGAAAAATGCACAGAACATTTTTTAAAGTACTTTAAGAAGTCTTTAGAATAAACTTGACTTTAAGTCATTAGCATCAAAATTAACAAAGTTAGGATAAAAATAAAACTGTTAATTCGCTTTATCGGAAAAAGAATCAGTACAAAAACTGATGAATTTTTCACGAGATTTAAAATTAAAGGTAATCCTTCTACAATTTATATTTTTTATATGCCAACAATATATTATACAAGTTTAAGCGGGTTGGAATGGAAAACTTCAAAATATTACGTTTTGATTGAAAAAAAATTTTTTTAATCCCAAAAATAGAATATGTATATTTTTGAAAATAACTAAAAATTAAAAAGATACGAAAAATATTCAAGAGTAAAAAATTTTTTTTCACAGAAAATTTTGGTTTCTTTTTTATGTGTAAGATAAAAATTAACAGAGATGTCGCTGCTTGAAGTTTGGAGGGCGAGTCATGTTTTTCAAATCGTTTAACCTCAAAAATTTTAAATTTTACAGAACTTTTAGCTGTCGAAATTTTTCATGAAATCGTTTTTGGATCGTCTTAATGCTTTAAAATTAAGGAAGTTATCTTAAAAAAAACCGGCGGTACCTTACCTCTTCAATTTTTGGAACATATCAATATTTTGATTATCCACTTTGGAGCATGCATAGGTATAAATAATAAAATAANATGAATTTTGGCCCATTACATCGAGACCACCCTGTATATATATATATATATATATATAATTGAATATTACATAAATTAAAGTAAATTGCGAGAGAGAAAGTTATTACGAAAAAAGAATTATAATTCATTTTAAATAATTTAAAAGCCATTTTTATATTTTGTCATTGGGGTGGTTTTTAAAGGTTGAAACAATGCGATAAATTATAAATTGTATTATAAACAGGTAAAAGAATGTAATTTATCCTGTTTGTACTAACAAATCATTCATTTTGTTATTAGGGGTAGTTTTTTAAGGGTTGAAACATTGTAATAAATTATTTATACCATAAACTATTGAAAAGATTTCTATCAACAATATATGAATAAGAAACTATTAATTTTATATTTTTATCATTAAGGGTGGTTTTTAAGGGTTGAAACTTTATAAAAATAGCGTAAATTATAACCCACAATATAAAACAATATTTATTCTAGATACAGGGTGAACCATTAGTGTGAGAAAGTAAAATAACTCCCTTGTTATTCATAATACAGAAAAAAAGTTTATATAAAGGTTGTACAGAACCAAAAAACCTAGTACAAAATTAATTTGAAACGTATAGGACGATTAGTAAAAACGGGACACGTCAAATATTACATTTTTTAAATGGAACACCCTGTATATTTTTAAACAAATGGATTTCTGGGAATCTTCTATATACCTATGGCAATGTAAACAGTTTAACATTTCAGTACGGGGTTATGTAGAAAATTCTTCGAATTTTGGAAAAAACATGACCTCGAAGAAGTTGTATTAACTTTCAACTATTAACACTTAGAGCAAAAATATTTGATAGAGTTATAGACAAATGTTAGGCAAAGATTCCTGCATTAGCTAATATCGATATTTTATACTTTCTATTTCGTTTTCTTTTTTCTTTTCTATCTATTTTTTTATTTTATAATTCGATCATTTTTAGAAAGTTCAAACTTGATTTTCTAAAATGTTTCAAAAGGAACACCCTGTATTTTATTGTTCTATTTTATTCACATATCAGTCCACTTCAACTTTTATTATGTTCCTAAAGTTGTTAGTTTTTAATATATAGCAACATTGCTGGAAAAACCTAATTTTTATTATTTTCGGTCGCACGAAATGGCTTTGGAAAAAACTGTCACATTGTGTCAACTTGTCACTTCATAATTTATCATTCCATTTTGAGTTAATTTTATTATTTAATATTTATTTGTGGTATTCTATAAAATAATAAAAATTAAGTTTTTTCAGAAATGTTGCTATATCTTAAAAACTAACAATTTTAGATATAGAAGATGTTTAATAAAAGTTGAAGTGGACCGATATGTGAATAAAATAGACCTATAAAACACAGGGTGTTCCATTTCAAAAATTTTAGAGAATCGAGTTTAAACTTTCTAAAAATGATCATATTATAAAAAATGCTCTGTATAAAATATCGATATTAGCTAATATAGGAGCCTTTGTCTAACATTTGCCTATAACTATGTCTAATTATTTTGCTCCAAGTATTAGTAGCTGAAAGTTAATACAACTTCTTCGAGGTCATGTTTTTTCCAAAATTCGAAGAATTTTCTACATAAGTTGGCAACCCCGCACTAAAATGATAAACCGCACTAAATGATACTCCATATATAGAATTTTCTCGAAAACCATATGTTTAAAAATATACAGGGTGTTCCATTTAAAAAATGTAATCTTTGGCGTGTCCCGTTTTTACTCATCGCCCTGTATGTTTCAAATTAATTTTGTAGCTTAGGTTTCTTGATTCTGTTCAACTTTTATATTAAACAACTTTTTTTCTGTACTATGAGTAACCAGGGAGTTATTTTACTTTCTCGCACTAATGGCCCGCCCTGTATATAAAGATATGATTTTGGTCTATATAACACCTATTTTTATTCAGTTTTTTATCATAAGGGGTGGTTTTCATCCCCTAAAAATAAGAAGCGCATATCAAGCATATACATTTTTCATCTACAGGGTGAAATAAGCTTAATTCCAAATTTTCATAAAAATCGGATCTATCCGAAAGTATTCGGAGGTTTTGCCCTATTTTTCTCTTCGTTCCCTGGACTGTAAATCCAAAGTGTTTAATTGATTCAAACTATTGAAAGAGATAATTTAGAACAGCAGCATTTATACAGGGTGTACGCTAGAGAATAGGTGTAATTTAATGACGGAAAATGTTTTAAATGAACATTTACATCAGTATACACGTTTATTTTCTCTTGAATCTGTTTACACTGGATTTGAAGGATCCTCGTACTGTCTACATTTGAATGTGACGACTTGAATGGGTCGGGAGCCGACAAAAATTATTTGTTTTGTGTTGGAAATAGAAGCGACCCCTCGAAACCGTCGTAAAGTCAATGTTTATGCGTTGTAGTGAAAAAACTTTTGTTGTTCGCCATTCAGGGTCTCTGATTTACAATTCAACTCGTGTCACTCGACGCGTCGCGGGGACGCTTTTTAGGAGCACTAAAAAATGTATTTCTGTTGAAAGAAGACTATTAACTACATTTTGTGTACAATAAAAGAGGTCAAATTAGTTTTCACCGCACGAAAAGTTTTTTTATTTTCTTTTATTGGATTTAATTTATGTATTGTATATTTATTGTATTGGTGTAGAAAGATTTCCTATTAATTTATTGCATTGGTATATTTTTTAACATCTTGAAAATGAGTTAAAGCATTCAGTTAAATAAAAATATCTGTACGAGAAACGATGTTAAATTTTTCATCGTCGTACATCCCCTCTTAAACATATTAGCAAGGGGGTAGGGAACCTCGATGCAATTTTTCTCTGCACCACTCTGAAGTTAACAGCTCCCCCGATGAAAAATAACTTGACCCAATTTCTTCATTTTTATCCTCCATAAAAAAGCAATTTATTATTCTCGTAAGTAAAAATAGGGTCCTCGAATAATATCTTAGTGGGCCTGATCGATCTCACATAACGCTAGTACACCCCTTATCGCTATTTCGGAAACAGTAGTTCATATCGTTCACCAGTCAATCCGTTTCAGCTTCGTAGGAGATTAGATGGATTAGCTTGATTGCGTTTATGTTCTTTATTGAGCCGTTTTGTTGTCGGCAAAAAGTGCAACCGGATAACGTCTAGATTTAGTTACTTTTCTAGCTCTGTTATCTGCATCATTAGGCACTGCTGCTTTGTTTAATTAGAGGAATTGATTAATTCACCTCTAGTAGTTCCTATGGATATACAGAATTATCTTAGAAGTTGTGGACATGTTTATTATTCGGAAGGCCAAACTAAAGTTTCAAAATGTACCGAAGAATTGATTTAATTGAGAGGAGCTTTTGAGGCAAATGACCTTCACAGTACTAAAGACAATAGCTCGACTTATCGTCAGTAAACATTTTGAATGTTTTTATCAATTAACAAAAAAATTACGGCGAGTATCAATTTTGTAGGTAGAAAACAGTGATTTTTTATTTATACATTGTCATTAATAACTAAAAATGGGGTAACGAAACTAACTGAAATTTTAGAGTAATAGTGAGGTTATATATACAGGGTGGCCAAATGAAAACGAAACAGAACCATTTTCAGAAACTGCGTCAAGATTGTAGAAAAACGCTCAGATCCGTCGATTTTAGATTAAAGAGGGACATTCTTTGCTGGTATTTTTGACTCGCCACTTTCACCCCCAAGCAAGAGTAAGCCAAAATATTGAAATGGCATTGGAGGTTGAGTACTATTTCTTTTGAAAGCTCTTACAATTCTCTTTACAACAGACTTTAAATTTT